CCGCTGCATCTTATTTTGTAGTGATTTTGCGTTTACATTTATCGTATTTATTGAAATGATATAATAAATTTATGCTTTAAAATTATAATAACTTTGTTCCTTATGAAATAGGCATTAATCTGGCATAAATTTTGTTAAATAATATTGTTGTGGCTAAGAGAAATTCAAAGTTAACTTCAAGCAATTTTTGATGTTTTTTGGTTTGTAATATAATTGTTTTCCTATATTTAATCAGTGCTATTTCAAAATTTCGAGCTACTGTTTACTTTACGACTATATAAGAGATATCATTCTATTTCTTTTATTTCGTTTGTTAAGAACAGTAGCTCAATCCAGGACTTCAAAAAAGTGTCTTTGCGCATTTTATGAAAAACTTTCTCTGGTATTTTGGATTTAATTAAAAAGATGAGCAAAATTTCCAAAAAGTTGAGCCACTAATTTCTATAACAAGAGTTATTCTTCACTATTCAACAAGTCAAAATTGTTAATTTGTTTTTGTTTCCGAGAAAAATCACGCAGAAATCACAGTTGCGATGTAATATGGCTCTTAAAGCAAATTAGACATTTTCAACTTGTCGGAATATTATTTACAAAAAGTAATTCACTTATTTGTCTTTTCTTTTATTATAGTCTTATTCAACAAAATCATATTCTATAACAGATTTTACAGCAACATATCATATTTGGAAATAGTAGTTATTTATTTGGAAATATAAAAGAATTTATTCTTAATGAAAAATCCAGGCGGCTGCTATAACCACTAAGCTACCCAGGACTTAACTATATACAAATAATATAGATCGTTTGTTTATCTATGTCATAAGACAATTCTAAATTAGTTAGAAGGAATACAAAGCAAAGGTATAATATTTCTATTACTTCGATGAACACGAAGCACGATCCATTTACAGTTTTGCAAGCTTTCATTTAAGCGAAGCAGTAACATGATTGTAATTATAAACAATACCACTTGAGATATCCGATTATGCTTATCTGGACTGAAACATTATATTCATTTTACAATAACAATTAGTATTTGAATCGAAGTTCTTAGATTTTTTTTTTGTAGTAAGTAAGATTATTCACAGGAAAACAATATCGTAACAAAGGAATGATAATAATGACAGGTAGTTTTCAAAGTAATAAATAAGTAAAGAAAAGATTTACAAGAAAAAATAATGAAAAGTGTATTTGGGAAGTGTAAGTTATGTTAGCTGTATTAAAAATCTTTTTGTGACTACTCTTATAGTATTATTAGAGTGCAATTAGGTACAGCACGGATGATGATGAAAGAATTTTATGGAAAGCATAAGTTATGTAAACTGTATGAAAAATCTTTTTGTTACTTATGTTGGCAACTAGGTACAGTATGGATAAGGAATAGAAATGATGAAGTGATTTTATTATGAAGGTATTGGAATGAATGTACAAGTTTATTTAAGGATATTTGGGAATAATTTGGTTTATAAAATTTTCCATGCAAACGGACTGATCACCCAGGAGCTATGAAATTCTTATTAAACAAAATATTAATTATTATGGATTGTGAATTAAAATGAATTAGGAATGAAAGTTAATGAATTAAAATGCTCGATTATACGGTACACAATAAGAAATGGGTACTATAGGGATCGGGTCCTTCAGTCTTATCAATTGACGAACGAGATTCTCATTTGAATACTGTTGGAGACCAAATGTGTCTTAATTCATGGCCCTATGAAAAGAAATGTATATGAAAATGGTACATGGAGGGTCGGATCCTTCCATTCGATCATGGTGCAAACGAGATTTCTCCGTGAGATAAGTTGGAGTCCAAAAGAGGCTTAAACCATGACCCCCAAAGTAATTAGGTTGTGGCCACAACCCAAATGGCATGATATTATCCATTTAATATTATAGAATATGTAAAGTCGACTATAAATAATATATGTACCAATATGAATAAATAAAATGAAAATGAAAGAACGCCGGCGCCGAGCGAAACAGGTGAGTGAAATAATGCGTATAGACAAAGTACCTACGTGTGTAATGTGTTATGAAATAAGTGTACCCAAATTATATGAAATTAAGAATATGAGCAAGAGTATGGAATAAAGTATGATTTAATAAATGTGAAATAAAGATGATAGATGATGAAATAAGTATATAGGTATTGTTGGTATTGTGTGGTATTAAAGAATTAGAATCATAAAAAAAATGGTGAAATAATGACGATGAAAGCTTAGTTAAACGGATGAAAATATATAATATAGAAACAAAGTGCTAGAAAATGATAGAAAGAAATAGGTAGAATATTGATATGTATTTGTAAAAAAGGATAGATATGAAATGATTAACGAATACTCAAGTGATTTGAAAGAAAGTTTCTTAGAAAAGGTAGTTTTTTTTTTAAATAAAAGGACTGTACTGAAGTATGTGCTATTTTACATTAAAAAAATATATATATTTTCAAGATAGATTTATATTATATGGACATGGACACAAAAAAAATCTAAACTAGCACATAAAAATGAAAACAAAGTGAACAGTATTTTTTTTTTCTTTACATATTAGTAGTGTTGATTTATTAAGTCACTATATATGATATTTTTTTTATGAACGAGAAATAAGATAATTTTTTTTTGGCAATCTTAATTGTAAAACATAAGCAGTGCAATCTAATCCACACTTTCATGAAAATCCATATAAATTCAATTGTGTTGTGTGATATATTATTATATGTTGTGTTTTATTATTTGTATCTTATTATAACAATGAATGTAAAAGTAAAGTTTAATAATTTCCAAACCAATTAATAATGTTATATACAATATAAATTATATATTTACGTAATTGCATAAGCTGTATTTCTGTAACAAAATGTTAGTTTTAGCATTACACGCAAGTTATATACTTTCTTTTCATATATAACTGTATAAATTTAAAATAATAAAAATTGTTTCTGCAACTTACTATTATTTATCGTTTTCTTTTAAAGGAAATTAAGCTTTTATACTTGTAGATGTCTACCTTGAAATATTATAAAGATAACACCGATATAGAAATGAAAATTGTATTCTGTAAACTTCAAGTCCAAATAACTCGTTTAATGTATAAAACAAGTTTTAATTTCATTATTCATAATTAAAAAAAAAAAAGAATAATGTATGAATGTATAAATTCATTACGAAATCAAACTAATCTTGTGAATGTGTCAAGCTAGCCTTTGTTAATTTTATACTTAATTATTTGTATGTAAAACAAAAATCAGATTTTTGTATCTATTTCAATAAATTCAACAACATAAAAACGGTTTTATAAACAATATTTAGCTAATATCGTCAATATGTATGTATAATTATAAAAAAAAATATAATCTTGATTTTTTATTTTTTTTAGGGGGGAGGTGTAGTGTGTGTACACACACACTCATCGCTCCTCATTATATATAAGCCAATGTAAACGTAATTAAAGACATTATTATTATAATCGCATTCAGACTATCATTTCATACATCCGAACCACCAACACTGCATATTAATAATAAAGGCTATTTCCAAAAACCATACGTCAGAGTGACGTACGTCAGTAGCGCTACCATGAGTGGCTATCGAAAATTCTCATTACGTTACCGCAATCGATAGCGAATAAACGCACTTCGAATAGTATTCGATAGAAGTTGTACCATGAGTCACATTTACTATACTCGCTAATATTAACTCGAACATTCGAATAGTTTTTGTTACGTGACTGTGTATTTGGCCTAACTTCATTCTAAATGAAACTGTCTCGTTCTAATTATGCTGAATAGAGTGAGAAAGGCTGACTTTGGGCAAAAAACCGGGTATTTAGATCTTCAAATTTAAAAAGTAGATAGAACCCGTAAGCGTCATTGATCAGTCTCATAACGCGAGGTGGAACTGATTATTGAATTTATTCGGTTATTTCCATGTTGTGACAGATCATTCATTGTTTCTGTTTCTTGACTGGCGGTTGTTTAATACCTAAACATTAAAATGCGGACTAGTGCTTTACAAATACAGTTATTGGTTGAGTATATGGAAAGGTATGTACACTATGGTGCAAAACTGAACCAATGTCTTTAAAAGAGGTAATAACTTTTATTTATTTTGTTTTTAAAACTGCAGCGACGTTTTTAGTTACTATACGCAAAAAGAAGCCCCACGAACTGTCTGTTAAAAAAAAGGAGAAACGCGTTTGAACTTGTTTATTTCGTTGAGTGTGTGACTCGGTTATGCACCGCAACTTGAGAAGAGAACGTAATTATTTTTTGAGCGATTAAATAAATCAATAATACGCAAATTCATACCACAACCGCTCATATATTTAATATACATACTTAAATATTTAATATAAATACAGTTTCAATTGGTTTTAAATATGAGGCAGTTTTCAGGATCACTGCGTTATAAAATAAAAGAGATGTTAATCGAAGTCAATAGTACACGTCAAACGGCTGCAATATTTAATGTGAGTCAAAGTACAGTTCAAAGAATTAGAAAGAAGTGCAAAAGTAATTTAAAAAAATCTTGGTGGTCGGCTGAGGAAGTTGAGTACTAAGGACAGTCACCGTATCATTAAATGCATGGCTACTGGAGAAGCCTCGTCGACGTCTCATGCATCTAAACTTCTTCAATATGATACTGGTAAGTTGATTAGTAAGTGGACAGTGCAGCGTGAATAACATCGAAATAAATTTAGAGCAATAGAGAAAAAAAAGAAGCCTTTTTTGAGTAAAACAAATATAAAAGCAAGATTAAACTTTGTAAAAAAAATATGAACACTGGTCAGAAGAGGATTGGTAGAAGGTTATTTTTTCAGACGAAACAAAGATTAATCGATTCACAACTGATGGTCGCCAATGGAAATGGAAAAGGGAAGGTGAGCCAGTAAGTCAAACGGATTTTATTCAGACTGTTAAGCACAGGGTAGGCAATGTAATGCTTTGGGGGTGCATGTCAGCTTATGGAATAGGTCTTATTCACAGAATCATTGGAAAAATGAATAAAGAAATGTATCTAGGTATTTTGAAACACAAATTAATTGAAGCAGTGAAGAATATGCCTTATCCGATAAATAATGTAACTTTCCAGCACGACAATGATCCCAAACATACCGCCAAGATCCGTAAGAGGATTGACATTCTCATTGGTAATGACTATTACTACAGTTTCCTATTAAATGAGAAGTTGAAGATAAATGAACACTTATACTTGGTTGATTCCATCTTTGGCTGGATATGTTCAGGTGTGCAACGGAATCTCAAGAATGAGTATGTACAGGTGATAACATATATGCAGAAAGAGACTCCTATGATGCCGTCTCCTGACCTCCCTTTAAAAGAGATTCAAAGTCAAAGCAAAATAATCTTTATTTAAATAGACTTCTTAAAAGTACTTTTGAATCGTCCAATATTTTTTTTCCCTACCACTCGTTCAGGACGTCTTTTGGCTGATAAGAAGAACGAGCAAGAAACTCACCAGCTCTAATAAGAGTAATGACATTTACAAAAACCATGTCATTACCAGATCAATACATTATAAACAGAGATAGAAAAAAAAAACTATGGTTTTATAATGATAACATAATCATTTAATAATAATGGAAACAAGATAATGAGTTTAGAACTAATCACCTATCAAGTTGCTGGATCATCTCAAGTCCAAACTTTCTTATCTGTTATATAATCGGATACCTTATAATAAGCTTTTTTAATAAGTATTTTTTTAATAGTAGATTTAAACTGCATGATATCTAATTGTTATATTTTGCTTGGGACCTTATTGTAGAAGCGCACACAAAGACCCTTAAACGAGTTATTAACTTTTTGCAGTATAGTGACAGGCACCGTTAATTTATATTTTTTTCTTGTATTAAAATTGTGTACATCACTTTTTATAGAAAACAAACTAATATTTTTACGAACGTAAATTAAGTTCTCGTATATGTATTGAGAAGCAACAGTCAAATGTCTATTTCCTTAAATTTCTCCCTTAAAGAGTCCCTTATGCTATGCTGCAGAGCTAAGTCTACTCGACAATCTATCAATATGTGGGCCCCACTGTAGTTTAGAATCTAATGTTATTCCTAAAAATACTGTGGTATCCACAAGGCCCATGTTCTTATCTTTTATATTAACATTTATATCTACTTTTTTAACATTAGGTAGTACAAATTTTAGGCACTTTGTTTTTCCTTCATTACAGTACCTAAATTGTGGGACATAGAAACTATCGGCATAAAAGATTGTCCTAAGGCTACTAGGGATGCCATCGCTGTTGAAGAGTTCCACAAGTCTGTGAAGTTTGAAGCTAGTCGATACTGGATCAAGTGGCCATGGATAAAAAAACACTCCTGATTTACCTGATAACTATGGCCTCGCGTATGGTCGACTAGTTGGCCTGTTGAAGAGAATGGATGAAACTACCTTGCAAAAACATGAAGGAATAATCAGGATGCAAATCGAGAATCACATTTTGGAAGAAATTAACGATGGGAACGAAATTGATGGACGTGTACACTACCTACCTCATCATTATGTGAAAAAAGGTGACAAACTCAGACTGGTGTATGATGGTTCATCTAAACCATTGATTTTCAAAGTGGGGGGCACGCCTCACTAGGGAGGCGCGAAGACATGTACTGGGGGGCGCGGGCGGCGGGCAGTTATCACTCCGCTCTGGTCACCCGCGCATACTTACCGCACGCCTCACTTCTCGCATCGAATGCGCCTCGCGAACACGTGTACTTTTGTTCCTTCAAGTTTCCTGCTATCTATTGTGTGCTAAAGTAACCGGTAATTTCTTTTATTTCGCCATGAGCTCAACGAAAAAACGTTAATATAATGATGATTATATTAAATACGGTCTTGTTTCTATGAATAAAAGTGGTATCGACCAGCCGCAGTGTGATATTTGTCATAAAGTATTGAGCAATGATGCCATGAGACCTTCGCACCTGGAACGATATTTATCAACAAAACACAGCGCTTTAAAAGACAAACCGAGAGTTTTTTGCATCAAAATCTACCAGTTTGAAGCACATGAAATTGGATAGTACTGGATCTTTGCTCAGTCATCTGAGAAAGTGCTCAAAGCTTCATATGAATTGTCGCTACTCATTGAAAAGGCCAAAAAAAATCATACTATCGGTGAAACTCTTGTCAAACCCAGCTTATTGAAAGCAGCCGATATAATTCTTGGACCAGAATTTAAACAAAAATTCACACAAATACCTCTTTCCGACAACACCGTGAAACATCGCATTGACGATATGGCTGAAGATATAAAATACCAGGTAGTGGAGGCCGTGAAAAAATCAAGTTTTTTTTGCAATACAGCTGGATGAGAGTACGGATGTTGCGCAATGTTCTCAGCTACTAGTTTTCGCTCGATACATAGAAAATGAAATAATCAAAGACGAGTTGCTGTTTTCAGCAGCATTAACGACAACTTCAAAAGCACTTGATATAATGTCAGCAATCTCTGAAAAAGTGGATCGGCGTATGCACTGTTATTAGGGTTGTCAGCGCACAGTTTTACTTCGAAGAAAAAAAGCAAAATATCTAGGTCATGTGCTGGGTTTCAGACTTAGTGATCATTTTTCTGGGTTCTATTCTTCATACCGTATATGCCATATTCGGGATTATACAGGTATTACCAAACACTCTGTATACATTCCATTCACTCACACATCCATACATACTTTCGACTGAACCGGGCACAGAATTTTCGCATATGGGACTTTGCGTCAAAAGCACCGAAATTCGAGGCAGCTTATCGTGTAGCAAGATTAGCCTTCGCCCATGAGCACCGAGATTGGACAAGTAAGTGGGGTCGTGTTTTATTCACCGATGAGCACCGCTTTTGCCTAATTTTTGTGAAAGGATGTGGAGTGTAATTGAAAGGATGTGGAGGTTTCGAGGTGAACGATACAACCAGACTAACTTCACGGAAACGGTGTCATATGGTGGAGGGTCAGTAATAGTATGGGGTGGCATATGTTTAGGAGCCCGCACAGAGTTAGTGCTCATTGAAAATTGATCTCTCACTGCGCACCGATACGTAACAAAGTCTTACAATCATATGCATTTAGCCCCATTTATAGGCTAAAATTTCATTTTTATGCATGATTATGCATGCTCTCACACACAATCAATTAAATGGACTAGCCAGCGCGATCACCGGACATGAACCCATCCAATAGAAAACGCTTGGGACTTTTTGGGAAGAAGAGTTCGACAGTGAAATACAGCTCCTAGGAATGTTGAAGAGCTGAAACTGGCTTTGATGGAAGAGTGGGATAATTTACTGCAAGAAATGATCGACAGCTTTGTTTAGAGCATGGGAAATCATATACAAGCTCTGCTGAGAGCCCGCGGAGGCAATCTCGTTATTAATTTCAATAATTTTGTGTAATTAAAAGAATAAATTTAAATTTTACTGAACCAACGTTGCAGCTGAAACTCAGATTTTAAACACTTATGTCCATAACGCTTTTCTTTCTTAGTTATTTATTTAGATTTATATTTTGAAAATGAAAACCAGTGCCACACAATTTGAAATGATAGTTAGTTTCATGGATTAGTATAACAAAGTTTTGTGATGTTTTTTTATTATTAATTGATTATGTACTTTTAACTCAATCAAATCGACAACGTATTGTATTTAGATTTTTTGTAATAATGTCATTTCTCACTTTCTCTAGGCATGGAGATATTAATCAGTCCACTAAAACTACCCAGGGCAGAATGAAAACTATTAAAGAGTGGGAGAATCTCACAAATTTCCTTAACAGTGACGCGACGGTAGAGACAAAAACCACTGAAAAGTGGAAAAAGGTATATAATTTAGTCTATTACTATCAAATTACATTCAATTCAAATGCATCAAAAAAAAAAATTGTAACTTGCGCGCTTATAATATTAAAGAAATACAATTAATATACCTGTAATTAAAATAAAATATTCTTGAACTTAACAAAAACACCTTTTTTCTTCTAGGTTTGGAGTGACCTTAAATACAATATTTAAAAGAAAGCAGCGAAAATACCCAAGGCTGCTTACGGTACAGGTGGTGGACCCGCATTGCAGATCCGACTGACCGAGTTAGAAGAGCGGGTGCTCAACATAATAGGGCCCCAGTCATCAACTGGCCTGCCAGTTATTGAAGCAGGATTACCAATTGTATGTATAAAATTGTTTTAATGAGAGATAAATAAAACAAATTTTGTAAATATTCTCACTTTAAATAAATGATTTTTAGAATATTGATAGTGATAAAACTGCAACTATACCGCCATCACTCAATGAAAATGAGGACAGCCCCTCAATAATCATAACTGTCCCACAAATAGACAGTGAAAATATAACTATCATTATAAAACCATAGCTTTTTTTTTTCTCTCTATTTATAATGCATGGTTTTTGTAAATGTCATTACTCCTATTAGAGCTGGTGAGTTTCTTGCTCGTTCTTCTTATCAGCCAAAAGACGTCCTGAACGAGCGGTAGGGAAAAAAATGTTGGACGATTCAAACGTACTTTTAAGAAGTCTTTTTGAATAAAGCTTATTTTGACTTTGACTTCTTACTTTAATTCTTAGTATAATTTTACTTCATTTTGTCCTTAATATTCTATTGCAGATTGGATGCGTCCTGGATCTTCACACCAACCCCATATACCACCACCTGTGACACCACCACCACCACCACCATTACCACCACCAGTGCCCACTCCACGAACACAAAATCTACCAAATACTGCTGCCCAGGATCAACCTGCTCCCCGAGGTCAAACGACTCGAAGACGGATTGCTGGTCCTCAGTCCCACTTAGAGCAGGTATCGCAGCAGTTTATGCAGTCAGACGAAATGTGGAGGAATTTCCTTATAAAAAAGCATGAGGATGAATTAGAACTAGAAAAGTGCTAAGCTGCATGTACGGCAGCTAGAAATACAATCACAACAAAGGTGGCAAGATGTTGCATTTCATGCTATTGACATACAAGTTCATCAATTCACAAAAAAAATGAATAATTATTTTGTTTAGAGAGAAAGAAACTTTGCTAACAAACTTTTGCCCCTATGGGACGCTGATACGAACCATTGGCAAAAAAAATTAGTGCAGTAAGAACCTAAAATAAAACGTTTCATAAAGTTAAATAAAATAATAATTAAGTAACAAAAAGAGTACCTAATAAAAATAAAGATTTTACCTTTTCTTGTACACTTATTTGCTAAGTTTTTTTCAAAGACACCCTTTCTAACTCATCACATAGAAATAAAAATGCTGCTTTTGTAATACGATATCTATTTTTAAATTCAATATCACTTAAATCTCGTATTGCATTAAATGTTGATCGTAATGCGGTGCGTTGCCACCGAAGGTAATTTCTTTGGTCTTGGGCACTCATTATTAATTTTCATGCAAAATAATTTCTTGCAGGCCCTGCCATATTTTTTTATTCAAAAATCAAATAGTTATCGCATCTCACTACCTAATTATGAAGAGAGTTACTAAACTACTGCGTATGAATTTCAAAACTAATCAAAATGTCAAATTTGCCGCTTACACTCGAAGAAACGTCAAATTCACTCGAAATACGGATTTCGAAGTGAAAATGCGTTCGATGCGTTTAGAGTCGAATCGACGATTGTTAACGCTCGGTAATGCATTAGCTATTTTTATCTCTGCTGCTACCCGCCAGGGGCGCTTTTTTTTTTTGTTTTTATACAAATTGGCTTAAATACGCAAACGCGATAGTTAAGTTTGTTTAACGTAAAAACTTACACTAAGGGTACAGATTGCAAACATGCAGAAATGCGTATGCTGCGTAAATTAAATGACGAACATGTCATACCCCAAAAAATAAAGAAAATGAAAGTAAGTAAATTAATAGGGTAGAATAATATGTTTTAAAGATAATTATAATTGAACGATGATTATAAAAATCTTTAATTTTTAGGTAAAGAATTGCACTCGTGAGTTCAGCAAAACCATAGCAAGTGCTTTAAGATACACAGCAAACTTTTGTAAGTATCTTTTTGTGGTTAAATCGAAATATCATTGGCAAGATAACACTATTTTACAGATTCCCATTTGTCCAGTACACTATGTGAATGAAAAGCCAGTCAGTGAAACTTATTGAACACTGCCGAAATGGTGTCATTATTTGATGATCATTTTGATTCCTACAATGGATCGTCAATCACGATTAAAAATAAAAGCAAACCTCTAATACAAGCTGCATTGAAGAACTCGAAGCATCTTTCATTTTAAAAAGACGCAATAAAAAAGCTGGAAGACTTAAAATTTATTGACCATAATGCCAAGGAATGCGTGGTGTCATCCCAAAAAAATTTTATTACATCTTTCAAAAAATTGATAGGATTGTTGCACTTTTTTCAAAGTAGGGTTTCCGAATTAATGCGCCCCCGATATTTCAATACTGACCCACAGGAAAATTATTTATCTAAGTACGGGCATACAGCTTTAGAAGTAACGACCCAAATTGTAAGTTATTTAAAAATATATTTCGATCCCCCTTACTCACAAGGTTTATCCATTTCCATTCCGACACTTACAATTGTGAAGATTTTTCAGGAGACCAAATAACAAAGTTAAAAAATTTATTTCACCATAAACAGGAACACAATGTAAAAATAACAATGTCTTCCTGTCAAACTGCCACAATAATGTCACCTGGGGAAAAAGAAAATGAGTCTTTCCAGTATTCCATTAATTAAATTGAATAATCCGGCTTTCAAATAGTTTTTTGAGAATCATTTATGCTGCAAGTGTGCAAATTGTCCCACTCTCCCGAGTGAGACTAGCCTCAGATAAAAATATTTAGATAATTCGTAAAACGGCACCATGACATTTATTTACGCATAAATATGTAATAAAAAGCTTTTGGATTTTATTCGATGAAACAACCAATTTTTGAGGTCGCTATACCGTGCACTTTTTGGTGAAGCCATTGAATTTGGATGCCACAGATAAACCATATTTAGTAGCATGTAAAACATTACAAGTGGTTATGGATGCACTGTATCAGATTTTGTAACTAATTGTTTGAAGAGCTTTTGTAATTTAAAACTTTTTATTATGACATTTAACTTTTTATAAAGGTTATAAATTAAAATAAAGCTACTTAATTAAATCATTCATTCAAAACATATTTGAATATCGCTTCGAAACACTGGAAGTTTGGTTTTTTTATTGCATAACACTCTCGTCAGCTCCGGTATAGGGATACAATATTCTACTCCTATATCGCTCGTGGAATCCCCGTGCTTCATTTTTCGTTCGTCAACTCTTGTCACTTTGGAATTGGTTCAATACATTATGAGTTACAGTCTTTACTGCACGTCGGCGTCGTACATTTCTTCAGTTTATTGAATATTATAATCTAATACTATTTAAAGTATTGAGGGAGCTGGAAAATTGTAAATTATATTGTAAGTTAGAAAATATGTTTCAGATGAATAAGTGTGAATATGGGTAACTATGTAATACTTAAAAATTCTAATTGTTCGTGCAAAACAAAGCAAGATTTACAAAAAGAGTTCGCGAGATTGTGACGCCGGTAGAAAATTTGAGTCAGGTAGCTCAAAAAGGAAACGAGCTATCAAAATAAAACAAGTTAAAGTTGAAAAGCTAGACAGGCGCTGGATGATTTATTCGCAAACAAAGGATTTGCTTTCCGTGTCGAACATTCGGGCTAGAAAATAAAGAGATAAGATTAAGTGAAATAATGTGTGTTTGGAAACACTTGGGCGATTACCTAAAAATTTACTCGACAGCACAAAGATTGTATGTTGAAATGATTTTTTTAGCATCTCACAATTTAGCCTTTAGGGGTCATAGAGAGAAGTTAACATCTAACTCAGATTCGAGAGAGTCAAGTTTTCGAACTTTATAAAGGAGAATGGGCAAATGTGGTTTTGCTTTGTGACGAAATCAAACCGCTTATAAAAAATATGTTTTTAATTTTACCTAAATACCTTAAAATATGCAGCCCTATCTTCGACGGAGTATAATGTGTTTCAAATAAAGAAAGGTAACTGATTTTCTCTAAAATATCCACCATTTTTATGTTTTTTTTTTAATGTAGCCAGTATTCAAAATCTACATCAATTATATAAATCGATATTGTATTTGAATAGGCAGAGCCCTGAAACATGAAAGACGAAAAAACATTTAAATTGATGAAATAATGGATGAAACAACTGGATGACACCATATGAGCGGAATCGATTAATTGAGTTTCAGTGCTGCCAAAACAAAACATATTAATATAAAAAATGTTTTATGTGGCTGAAGAGGGTATGCATTGTTTGCAAGGTCTCATCAAGTACCAAATGTATTATGACATTTTTACAGTTGTCGCATTTTAAATCCCCCAACATGTTTATTCGTAATTAATAACCTATGCTCTATGTCAGTTAATAGTATATTGTTGAGTTAAAATAATTACATTGTTCATTATTAAGAATATAAATAAATAATTAGTTTTAAAGATTTAATCGAATCAAGTCGATTAAAAATAGTCGATTTATAACATTTTTAGAATGGCAATAATGACATGCATGACCCGCTAAATGAAAGGCATACATTGACACAATTGACAGCTGTCACTACAGTATTGCCTTTCGTTCTGTTAAGTTCGTTTGTTGAATGCTTTAGTGATTTTCTTCTTTCTTTAAGTTTTACGTCGAGTGAATTTCGAGTTCCTCCGTAACTATAGAAACTGAACATATTCGAGACAGAGACTCTTTTTTCGTGTGTGAATTCTGTTTGTACCAATAACATTAACATTACTATTACTTGATGAATTTCAGCATATTTCTCATGAATCCGTCGAATAAGATTAATTATTTTTTTTTTATAATTGAATCTAAGGCTAAAACCCTAAAAAATGATGCAGGTTTCATTATGGCACAAAAAAAAAAAATTTGAAACGAAACTCCATACATCATTGCCCAGTCTCCTTTATAAAAGTTGATAATGGCAAGTCACGTGAAGACAGATATTGTTGAAAAAATAATAAATTTTACTCGATTATTCTTGATTGTAAATAGCGACGTTTCTCATATATCACGTGAAATTGAAGAACATTTTATTGGTTTCTCATCATCATCAGCCCCTTTTACGTCCCCACTGCAGGGACTGAGGCCTTCCTTACGGATGGTTAAGGAGGATGGGCCATGACCCTCCACGCTGGCCCAATACGGATTGGAGGGTATTTTTCCCTATGTTATATATTTACTTTTTTTTTTGCTGAATTTCAATGCTGGTAGTGCAGCGGAGTTAACTCGGAGCTTTCTTATATATTCTGATTATATCATTCTTTTTTTATATATCATTACTTTTTTCTAACTTAAGTTTTTGAAATGGATAAAGAATTTATTATGAACAGTTTTTAATTAATCAACTTTTTCCAAGCACTATGTACTTACTTAGTTTTGTTAATTTCCTTTGCTACATACATATTTTAATGGATACGTTATAATACCATTCTTCATGGTTTACTTGTCATATTTTATATAACTGTATTTTAGTTTGTATACTAATGTAGGGGATACCTACAGTTTATACGGATATGTAGGGAGAGGGAAACGTAATAAATCACCAAACCCAATGAGTGCTGTTTGTACAATGGTTTAATGTAATAAAATTATAAATAACAATAATTAATACGTGAACTTAGGTTACAGAGCGTTGAACTTGAAATGCTGATCAGACTATTATTTTTACCTACATACAATGTACATTGACTCGTACAACTAATTTTAGTGTGTATTTTAGGCGATTCTCTTCCACACTGCTGGCGCGTGGTTATTAGAATAAATTTGTTTTTCTTTAAATACGTATAGATTATATAACAGCATTTATTAGTGTATATTATATTCGTTTCTGACCCGTGGAACACCAAAGTGGTTCACCTAGGTGTTCCACTGTTAACTTTTTGTACCCCTGGTTCACCTAGGTGTTCTGCCATTCAAAATAATGTACCCGTAGTTCACCTATCTAATGAAACACAAGTCATCCTAAATAATTGAAAAACTTAATGTTAGAATTGATAAAATTAAAGATTTTCAGGACAAAACAAGAAAGAAATCTGTTTTGGTAATGTAACAACTTAATAAAAGACAGAAAACAGATTTTACTCCAAGGGTGAATATTCTACTTTTAATTAATAGATATTGTGTCAAATGCTTGGTTCGCATAAAAAAAAATCACCTAATTACGTAGCTTTTCTAATGCACTCACGATAGTGATTTCCTTATTAACAAATTGCATTTGAATGTTGAGAATATAGTTATCATTTTCGAGAATTATTTTTCTTTTTTAATAGGATTTTTTATCAGCAGGTGCAACTGATACAATTTTTTCTAAAAAAAATTAAAAGTCTAAATAATGTCACTGTGTTTTTGTTTAGCGCTCGGTTTCATTTGGCATTGAAGCCTTCGGTAACATTATTGGTACGGTGATGCTGTCTAAATTCACTTAATGTTTTCATTATATCATTTTTAAAATAAAAAAATAGGCCATTATATGTGTAGAGGACAAACAAGACGTCTTACAAGTGATATCAAAGGTATGATGAATAAACGCAATGCTGCCAAGGTGAGATTCAGGAATGATCCCTCGGATGAACACCGACGCAGTTATAAGGAACTGCGTAATCGCTGTAACAGAGTGTGCAGAGATGCCCAACGGCGTTATTTACATGGTTCTGTGACGAATGGTTCTCCAGCTAAGGTCTAGTCTTTTCTTAAATCTCTCGGTATCGGTAAATCAAAGTCTTCACTTCCTCTTGAATTAGATATCGATTCAATAAATCGTAACTTCACTAATACTCCTCCTATTCCCCCTAATTTAAAACAAGTTACTTTGCAGCCTGCAAAGCCTTTGTCTGCCTGCTCTGATCTTCTAACTCCTGTATTTTCCTTTGGATCGACATCTGAGCGTGAAATTATAACCAGCATTTCGTTTATAAAATCAAATGCTGAAGGTATTGACGGTATCAATCGTAGAATGATCCTGGCGGGTTCTGAGATCCTTATTCCCATACTTTGCCACATATTCAACTTCTCGCTTCATACAGGAACTTTTCCTATATGCTGGCGTAAAGCAGTTGTTGTCCCTATCCCCAAAACTTCTAATCCTTGTTCACTTTCACAATTCAGGCCTATATCTATCCTACCCTTTCTTTCTCAAGCACTTGAGCGTCTTGTGTACCGTCAGCTAAGTTGGTATATAAATTCGAAAAACCTTTTAAATCCTCTCCAGCATTAATGATTTTATGTGGACATGGAAACTCAAAGATCCCATAAGAAAGAGCTGGTGAAGGGTAAAACTGGCGACAGGCAAATTGACATCAAAGACAAACCAGCGATAACATCTACATTGAGAGACCTGGTGAAGGGGAAACCTGATGTCAGACCGGTGGACATTGACTACGACAGAGAAAATGACAGACCAACTTCATCCCGTGCCTTGACAGACCTGGTGAAGGAGCAATCCGGCGACAGGCAACAAGCACGGAATGACGACCTTGACTTTTAGCAAGGAATGATAACCAAGTGACTTAATGATTGACGGGTGACATGAGTGTTGCAATATGAAATTCACATTTTTTTATTTTTTTTAAATGTCATGAGATTCTGGTAGATTCAGGCCAAGCGCTTTTATTTTAGTTTTTCTGTAGAGGTGCCATTTTGAAACTCCCTCTTAAATATTCATTTCCTACTTTATCCATTCCCGTAACTCCACACATCTATCTCAACATACTTATTTCCGCAACATGTAATTTTCATCCATTTATCTTCTTCAAGGCCCTAAATTCTGATCTATACATTACGATAGATCTTATTACCGATTAGTAAATCTTGCTCTTTAACCTTACTGGGATCCGTGGGTCACAGATTACTTCTGTGACCTGTCGCCACTTCACCCATCCTGCAATGTATATGTCTGTTTTTCTTATTCTACCATACATTTTGAAAGACTTAAGGTATAGCGTATCATTAGAAACATTTCATCATCCCGTGTGACATAACCTACATTTTTTTATTATCTTAGCACTCTGTGTTATTGCTTTGTGGGAGATCGAGCATGAAATTATTAATCGGACAAATGCATTGTATGTTATACAACATACATTATACATTAACCCTTAACACAATACACTCCTTTTTGGGGAAGTCATGTAAAAATATCCATTTTCAGGATCCTTTTGTGTATTTTTTAATATTTTATCAATTTTAATAAAGCTCATAAGGCTCACATTGCAAGATTTTGACGCGCGTTTAGACGACCTACATTATGTACTTACAACCGATCACATGAGCGCGCGTTAACGCGCGGCTACGAGCGTTAACGTGGCGTTTAGAGCAAAAGTTTCTAGATGCAGAAGAACGCGCGTTAACGAGTACTTTGTTAACTTAGTAACAGCCCTTTGCTGTTCAGTTGAGCGCGAGCATTCACCGCGATTGCAAGCATTTTTCGTTTATTTTTGCAATACTACTACATTTTGCTACCGAGTATTTTATAAATTATCTATAATGAGTGAATCCGAAGATATCGACATCGACTTACATATCGACGAAGTACAGAAAAGACCAATGATATGGGATGTATCTTCAGAATCCTATAAAAACAAAATTTCGAGACGGCGTGCTTCGGAAAATTGGATTTAATTTTTAGCAATGGAACAGACTCAAAGATTTTTCAGTAAGTTTTTTTGTATAGTATAGATTCTCTAAAAAATCCTGAATCACTAGCCTTTCCATTGGCACCAAAGTCTTCCCAGATGAAACGATAGTCAGAATCAAACAACGCTAGTAGCACTAAAGAAAAATATTTTTTATAATTAAAGTACAAAAAACCTGAGTGTTCTGGTTTCAGTATTCTGATATGTTTACTAGCGAATGCGCCGATGCAATGTGGAAATTTTGCAGTCTGTTCAAATCCTTGGGATATTTTTTCATTTCATTTTGTTTATCTGGAATTGGCATAACTCTGTCTTTCAATTTCGTTCAGATAACTTTACATACTTGGCGAATTATATAAGATATAGTCGACTTCCCAATTTTATATGAATAATAGCTCTGTCATTGAACACCCGCTTGCAAGGCATCTGGAATAAATAACTTCTCTTGAATTTCATTATACATATTTAATGTTAATATTATTTTACAGGTGCTTTGTTGCAGACGAAGTGGTAAAGTTTAAAAGAGAATTTTAACAGAACGGCGAAAAAATGGAAATCTGGATCTGGAGGATGTAAAAACAATTACGTACATTTTAACAGGCTGCTCTTTCTAAAATCTGCCAAACTAGGGAAAGAAAGGCAAAGTAATTTTGACTGCAATAATGATATTAATCATAATGAAAATGATAATAATTGCGAAATACAACCACCTTCCCGGCAAGCTGTTAAAAAAGTTAAACTCAAATCCAACAGTGACGACAAATTCATTCATATTCTAGAGAAGAGCATGGAGCAAAGACATTGAGTTCACAGAATTAGCAAAGAAACCAGAAGAGGTTGCAGATGAGGACAAATTATTTTGCTTATCTTTAGTAAACGAAATAAAGAAAATACCCGAACATAAGCGCCTTAGAGCCAAGATCGACATTTATAATTTAATAGCACAACACCAAAACCCTTCTCATTCTCCTTCATGTAATTACTCGTCTAAAAACTATTGGGGCTCTCAACATTATTCATCTGGTTACGGGTACAGTACTAGCGGACGAGATAAAGCACCAGTAACGCCGTCTTCAGTTGCCACCAGCAATTATGAGTTGCCACCAACTAGAATTGTTTACTGATTGTTAATAATTAATAATAAAACTTACCTTAAAGTGATTATTAACGTATACGTGTAGAAAATTCGGTTTCTACGTGGTATTCTACGACAGCCGGTGTCCCTCAAGGCGGTGTGCTCTCTCCGTTATTGTTTTCTATTTTTATTAATTCCATCACTCAACACCTTTCTTCTCCCTATCATTTGTATGCAGACGATCTCCAAATTTACTCCCAGAAGTGCTTTGAGCAGCTTGTTGATGCAATTAGCATCATTAATTCAGACTTGGATCGAATTGTCCATTGGAGTAACTCTTTCGGTCTTAAAGTAAATCCTGGCAAGACACAATGTATTATAATCGGTAGTCCTTTTTATATTTCTAGGATTAAAACTGACCAATTACCTCCAATTAAATTTGATGGGGTGTGTGTGCCTTATGCTGATGCTGTAAAGGACTTGGGTATCATCCTTGACAATACGTTGTCTTGGCGTCAACAAGTTGCAGAGGTGAGCCGGAGGATGTTTGCTGCGTCTGGTTCCCTTAGGAGACTGCGTAATTTCTTGCCTACCTCAACCAAAATTACACTTGCGCATTCACTTCTTTTACCTCTTCTTGATTATGCTGATGCATGTTATCCTGACCTTACAGTTGACCTTCTAAATAAACTTGAACGTCTCCAAAATCTCTCAATACGGTTTATATTTGGCTTACGTAAATATGACCATGTTTCCGAATTCCGTAAGCAACTCCAGTGGCTTCCCATCCGTCGACGAAGGGATATGTATATGCTCTGTCTTCTGTACTCAATACTGTTCAACCCCATGACTCCTTCCTATCTTAAAACTCGATTTCAATTTCTCTCATCTTCTCATGATCTATCTCTTCGCTCTTCTAATAATTATCGTTTGTATATGTTACGCTCAAAGATCGAAAACGCTCAGTGAGCGGAAAAATAGCTCACAACGCGTTGTGGTCACAGTAAAACATCCACATGGCGAAATTCGCGTTATGGCTCTAATGAAAACGCGCACGACGCGTTGTGGCAATCACAGAAAGACCAAATAGCGAAATTCGTGTCGTGGCTGACATGCTATTCGATCTCAACGCGTTGTGGCAATGAAAAAAAGCCATGATGCGTTCTGAGCATTTATTGTAAGTAAGCAAGGGTTTATAATGTGCCACTGCAAAAGATACTGTATTGATAAAAAGTGCAAGTGTCGCTCCAAGAATATAAAATGCAACTCCAAATGCCACAGTAATAGTTCCTGTAAAAATAAATAGCAATCAAATACTTATTTTAAGTACATTATTGTTGTTTATTGGTGGACAATAAACATTTATGTTTGTGTTAAATATTTTATTACTTGAAAGAATTTAAATTGTCATAAAAAAAATTAAAATCCCTAGTCTTCAAGTTCTTTAATTTCTAGTCTTTAGACATTTTTAAATCGCTGTTAAAATCTTTTTACCTGTCTGAAGTTTAATCTTCCTTTCCTTTCTTTCTTTTTTTATTTCTTCTTCTCTCTTTCCTCCCCTACTTGTCGCACTGTGTTTGTCACTGGTATGCTTTCACGCTTTATATATCTATTTGTTTTGTCACTTTTATGTTCTTATAACTTTTGTTCTATTTGTCCGCGTTATTATTTTATTTTAATTTGCACTATCTGCTTATATTTGTTATTAGTTTAATTTCTGTACTTTGTTAGGTTGCCTGGCAGAAATCGCTATCAAGCGATAAGGCCGCCTATTGTACGATGTTGTTATTATGTTTACGTAAGATTTTTGTATATTGTCTCTTTTCTATTGTGCAATAAAGAATATTTATTATTATTATTATTATTATTCGTTTTTCTTTGAGTGAAATACAATATCTGATCGCGTTCGGAGCTGCTGAAATGTCATCCTGTATTAGTTGAAGCAAATTGTCAAATGATTTCATAGACATTCTGAAGTAATTAAAGAATTTTGAATCATCGTCTCTCAGATTCGGATGAATGTCACAAACAAACTGGGTCTACTTTTCAAAATTGGGTGAACTCAATGTGTCCGTTTTCTTTTTACATATTTTTTTGTAATATAACTGTCGCAGCCAAATGGTAAAATCAGCCGACCAATTGGGCCAATAGTTTTCTAGTTAATAATTATGACATTTGGACCATTCGACAAAACGGCTGATTAAAAAGCCGCTTAAAAAGTTTATTCCTTTGCAAACTTTGTTTACAAACGATAATCAATCAGCGTTGCCAGAATGTTAATTTTGTAAGAAATCATGTTACTTTTGGCCCTCTCATGTTAGCTCTAGGTTACGATACTCAAAATTTTACTTTGACGTTTACACAATATTTTTCAGAATCACAAGTCACTTATTATTGAATCAATAAGATTCACAATTCTTTAAAACCTGAGCTAATGGGTTATAATTAATTTTTGGTTATAGGCAAACAAGTTCCGAATTATAGTATTAGCAGAGATCGTTGTTTTCTACATGATTAAATGTATAGTTACTTATTTCATGAAAATGTTACTTTTTGAGCTGTCTTGCGTAATATTTGAATATCTACCACTGGCAACACTGAATATATCATTCGTTTATTATTTAAATGTAACAGTTTGTAATTTTAGTTAGAAGTTGATGTTTTGTAAAAGAATAAAAATTGACATTTTATTTATAAAATAATGGAGTTACAAGAATCCTTAAACCATTCAGCGGAGGCAAAATTTAAAAACATCTTCGAAGATAAGTTGCACGACTATGAAATTGTTCATCAAGTTAATTTTATTCTAATATTACGAATGTTTTGTTTTTGTGTGTGAATTAGACTTTCTTCTTTAGTAAAGACATATATGTGCCTTTATTATAATACTTGTAATAGCATCGAAATAGTTAGCATTACTCTATCAAAATAAGAAATCCGATTCCAATTGTTATACCTATCAGTATAACAATCCCGTAACTCAAGTGTTTATAGAATATAGTTTTCGTATTATACATTGACATTTATTAGTTGGCTGAATTTCGTTCAGCCGTATTGTAGATCAACGTGTTCAACTACTAGGCTTATAAATTATTAGCCGGTTAACTATATGGCGCAATTTTATTAAAGGGCTAGCCGCCCAATTTATCGGCTGATTATACCATTTGGCTGTGACATAACCACGATACAATCGCCTCTTCCACGTCCATTTTCTAAGCACTCCCAAAAGAAACTTACTAGCACTTGCAACGCGCGTAAATCGCTGGTCATCTGAACTTATTTTAAATTAGATCACGCGATCACGCAATGACGCGCCTTACATCGCGTTACATATGAACTTAGCCTAAGGATGTACGAAGAAAGTCATAAAAAAAAATATATTTTTTTTAATAGTGTTTTTCTATACATGAGAAGGCGTGTTGTGTGAAATAGATGTAGTTAAAGTTATTGTTGAACTTTTAAGCAAAAAGTGAGCACCCATGTGCGCCCATGTCCGCCATTTTGTTTATCGAAGCGCAATAGAGAATAAATACACTTTTGTGACATGTGTGGATAATTATTTCTTCTCTGTGTTTTTAAAAGCTTTTTTTAAAAAGTTGTTCATTATAGTGGTTAAACTTTTAAATATAACAATATTACGTTTTTAATATTATGTTCATTTTTTTTTCATTTACAGGTATTCTTGATTCTGACCTGAGCTTTTATGACCTAAGGCAAGAATCGAAAGGAAAGAAACTCGAAGAAAAGTTTCAGAAACTCGAAGAAAAGAAAAATAAATTATATCGTACTGTAAGATTTTTTAAAAGCCAATTTAAGCAAAGATGGATAGCTGCCAAACGAGAGGAACTGCTAATTTATAATGAGTTATTAATAATAATGAGGAATGGCTTACATCCTCCATAAAACTTCCCAATTTCAGACCAGAAACTACTCAAAAACCGGGGCGACCTACAAAAATTTTGAAAATTTAAGTGAACGTAGCAAGAGACGAAAAACTATGGAGCTGTGGAAGCAAGTATCCGCCGAAGAGTTGGTCTATGCAGCTAGTGTTAGTCAAGGGACTAGTGGTAATACTGATGCATCTGTGATGATAAAGACAATAATAGCAGAAGATTACAGAGGAGCATATTGATCCAGAAAAAAATAACAAGATGAGAGTGAAATTGGCAACGCAAATTTTTTGCCACAGCGTTGCTGTTGCAACTGAACATTTAACAGCAAGGGGGGACTTACCAAATGAGTGCCCTCAATTGATAGATATTACATTATTGCTGGACAATTTATTTGACTCATTAAATGTTAGTTCTCTGACGATTCCTAGTGGCAAGATATATAAAGGCCCCGTCAAGCGAAACTCATCACATCACCAACTATGGACAAAAGTAAAATCTGTTTTAAGAACAGTAACTTTTTTTTAAGGACAATATATTGCTGGTGTAATGACTGTAAAAGATAGTATTATTCCTTCGATTAAGAATTTAATAAAAACAATAGAAGGAATGGAAGCAATTTGGAAGCTTTTAACATTAAAATACGGATACGATTGCTTACTGACCAGAAATTTTAATCAAGATCCAATAGAAAATTTCTTTGGAAACATTAGAAGCTATGGTGTTAGATGTAGTCCCTAATACAAATTCCTTTGAGGGGGCTTGTAAGTCTTTTTGTTAAATAATTTTAATACAGCTCATTCGAATAGAGCGAATTGTGAAAAAGACTATAATAAATGTTTACAAAATTTTGAATTTTTCTTAACCGAAAAAATTGAATGTTCGTACAATTTTAATAATAATGAGAAAAAAATTATAAATGAAAGCATTATTACTAATAATTATACAATAGAAAACGATGCTGGTTAGAGCAATTATGTCTGTGATTATACTGATGCATCTGTGATGATAAAGACAATAATAGCAGAAGATTAGAGAGGAGCATATTGATCCAGAAAAAAATAATAAGATGAGAGTGAAATTGGCAACGCAAGTTTTTAGCCACAGCGTTGCTGTTACAACTGAACATTTACCAGCAAGGGGGGACTTACCAAATGAG